CCAATTGGAAAAGTCTAGATACTGTATGATTCTAATTATATGACTTCCTGGAAAAGGCAACACTCTAGAGACAGTGAAAAGATCATTGATTGCCAGAGACTGGGGGTAGATGAGGGGAAGTGGGAGAGAGAGATATTCAGAGTGCAAGCACAGGAGGTTTTAGGGCAGTGAAATTACTCTGTATGATACAGTAATGATAAACACACGTTTTTATGAATTTGTCAAAACCCATAAAAATGTACAGAACAAAGAATGAACTCTAATGTGAATTATGAACTTCAGTTAATAATAATGTACTAATCTTAGTTCATCAATAATAATAAATATACCACATGAATATGAAGATGCCAATAACAGGGTACACTGTTGAGGAGGAGAGGGCAAATATGCCCTTTCCAATCAATTATTCTGTAAACCTAAAACTGCTCTTTAAAACAGGTCTATTAATTTAAGAAAATCAGAAAAACCAGAACTCAGAAAATATACGAGCATTACTCCTGTCTTGAAAATGAAAATCTATTTTAATTTATTTTATTTTATTTTGTTTTTCAGTGAATGGAAACAAGGCTAGAATATCCTACTCTTTAGTTTTCAAGTTTTAATTTATGTGTGTGTGTGTGTGTGTATATATATGTGTATATATATATATATATATATATATATATATATATATATATATAAAGAAGCTACCATTTTCAAGGATTATTAAGTCTTCCCTTAATTCTTCATCTGTCCCTCCAACTCTGTAACACCATTAGGCAGTGCCGTCCAGTGAGCACCACGGCCTGTAGTCTGTGCCTGGGGACGTGGTACATTCTCTCACTGGGCCAGTTCTGTTTCTGTTCTTTTCCCTAACCAAAAAGGCTTCTAAAGAGGAAAGATTTCAAAATTCTGAGAAAAAAATGGTGCAATCTACCTATTATTTTCATTTTCAAAATAAAAATAACGATTTCTTTTTTTTTTTTTTTTTTTGCCTTTACAATGTGTCATATATTTTTCTCAGTCACATCATGGGATAAAACAATAACAAGCTAACCCGATTTGACGTGAGAAACACAAAGAACCCCTGATAACATCAAAACTTAGATGCAAATACACTGTTCTTACCAATGACCTTTGCCAAAGTGAACATAAAAATAACCATTTCTATACATAACATTTCTCCTCCTTAAGACCAAATTTTTGAAATAATGACTTGGACAAAATTCTAATTTCTATTGCATGATCAACTAGTTGAGTGATATTTGCAGCTTTACTTTCTAGTTCTTTTTAGCAGCTCTCAGAACATTTCTAAACGCATATGTCATTATTAAATGCCTTTTAAATAATAGTTTTTAAAATCATTATATTTAATAGGACTAAGATATAATAGAAATTTGAAGTAGTTTTTATACTTATGTCAAATTATCCTAAAGGCACTGGATCATTATCGGAGAAATCTGATTCTCAAAAATGTTTCAGATGAATTAATACTACTCTGGAAGTGAAGAGAACAGATTAAATCAGTGAAAAGGAAAGATAATGTTAATGAGTTAAGCACCTAATTATTTTAACTTATTTCAGTATTGATTTAAATAATGTTCAATGGAAGAGGCTGTCTTATCCATGGTCAATACCAATTTAAAGTGCTTTAAGAGAATTATGTATTTATACTTTTCTGTGGTACGTTTTAATAACATTAAACTACTTCGTCTTCAAGAGGTGAGATTTTTTTATGTACTTTTTAAAGAGAAGTGACCGAACAATCGAAACAAACACCATAATTTTGGTGTTTATAATGTCGGTTAAATAATACTGGAACATTTCTTATTTTTATATCTTTGAAAGGTAAAAATGTCATATTATTGTTATACACTTTGCTTTTGGCTAATGAGATTAAACATTTCCATTTCTTTTCTGTTAATTGTCTGATAATGTCCATAGTGAAATTTTATGTTTGCCTTTTACAAAACTTATGAATTCTAGACAGGGCAAACATATAGGTATTTTCCAATGCTTTCATATTTTATAAGCACTTTTCTATCAACTGATCACTTATCTAGGTATGTTATGTTTCTCTGTGTTTAAGAAGAAGGATCAAATAATTTTGGTTATTGTAATATATTTTTACGTATATTACAATTCCCATTCTTCTTCTTTTCTTGGAGATAGAGTCTTGCTCTGTCACCCATGCTGGAGTGCAGTGGCACAACCATAGCTCACTGTAACCTCGAACAACTGGGCTAAAGCAATCCTCCTGCCTCAGCCTCCCGAGAAGCCGGGACTAAAGGTGTCTGCCACTATGCCTGATTAGTTTTTGTTTGTTTGTTTTTGTTTTTGTTTTTTTGGCGAGATGGGTGTCTCAGAACTGGTCTCTAACTCCTAGCCTCAATCAATCCTCCCGCCTCAGCCTCCCAAAACACTGGGATTAGAGGCATGAGCCCCCATTCCTCTTTTAAAACTCTTTTAGATAATTATGCTTATTTAAAAAACTTTAATATAATATAACACTGCTAATATTCATGTCTCTAAACTCGCTTACTATTAATTCATTGTCTTTGACAATTGAATGGGAAAGCATACATAACACCAATTTTAAATTAGTTCATTTGATGAGCTAACTAGATTTCTTCCAAAAACATTGATGTGGGGAAAGGTACAAAATCAACATGGCAAGGGATTGTATTTTTAGTCATGTGAGCTACCACAGAGAAAAAAAAAATGATTGAGATATTATCAGGAGAACAGATTCTTAATTTTCTACTTCTATGTTTGATGAGTTTATTTTTGCCTGAGGTGAGGTGGACCCCTGGTACATGACAACACAAGGGCTGATCGTTCTCACCTTCTTTTGTGTAAATATCTTCTGTTAGGTATTGGATTCAGTTTGTTAGCACCTACATATCCTCCTGTTAGCCGTAAGGAAGAAATGGCATGTAAAGACTACTTTATTTATATTCCAATATTGGGCAATGAAATGATGGTCAAACGATTATGATGTTATTTTATCCAATGAAATGAAACAGAGTTGAATATGCTTAATTAGGAAATGGAGTTATAAGTATGTTTGCTGAAGTCAATAATATTTGACCCTTGCAAAAGATGAAAAAGCAAAAAGTGTTAGCTAAAACCTAACCTATTAAACTATTATTTTTGTATAATTGATAATATTATATTTGGTTATTCAATGCAGCCTGCATTGTTTTCCTGATGTTTAGAGCACAAGATATTTTGAAAAACAATGAGAGAAAATCTCTGTTTTTCTTTTTCTTTTTCTTTTTCTTCATTTAGTGACACTGGGGTGTAAGCATGAATTTTAGTCTCCCCCAAAATCTAATCACTTCTGATCTGGCTTGGTGATCAGCTTATTTTTAGGAATGCATTTTTATTTAGAAAAGAATCAGTATTTGTTTTAAGCAACACCAAATCCTTGGAGTCCTTTCCTGAGCTTATATATAAATAGTGATAATCACATTTTAAAATAGTTTAATGTTTCTATTGTCTTTTAAACTGTTAAAATAATAAACCAACACTAAACTTTCCAAGAGAATGGCAAAAGCTCTGAGGCCACTCTTGTGTGGTTAGTAACTTATTTGCAGTTTTATTAAAATATCTGCTGAGACTGCTTACATGATTTTCAAATATTCACAGACATTTAAAAATAGAATGCATTTTCTTCTTTAATTTTCAGTGAAAAGAAAGCAATACCTCTGAATCACTGAATATGGACTCACCATAATGAATCTGCTAATTCCCGATTATGTTTCTTGTGGTTTATTTAAATGACAATTTCATATTTTTCAAGATCAATTACTAATTAGTTCTCAGTGGATTCACAGGAATATTGCTTTCCCTCAATTTGGAAAAGATCATTAAAATACTGAAATTTCTCATTTTTATTTGTATATTGTACCCCGTAAGCTGTACTATTTTTGCACAGCTTGTACTCCGTGTTTTTCTCCTGAAGTTAAAAATATTTATGGTTGAAAAGCTTAAAAACAAATCAAGAAGTGTGATCCACAATTTAAATATTAAATTCATTCTAAAATTGAATCAATTCATAATTTTCTACTCAGACATTATCAGTGAGTTTTACTTCTTTTGCTACTGCTACCCAACCTTGATATTTTTTACTCCATTCTAGTTAATTATTTCACCCACTTCTAAGCAATTCTTTTTTTCTTCCATAAGGACAAATTCAGGAAAAATGGTCATTATAGACAACACTTTTTTAAACTTTAGCAATGAAATAGCTTAACCAAATCCCATGAAAAAGTCTATGTTCTTTAACTTCGTTTATTTTCTTTACTGGGTAAAGTAATATTCAAGGACATGTTAAATAAGTTGGGGTCTGGAAGCAGCTTTCTAATATTTTACCATTAAAGTGAAATTACAGGATATATTGTGGTTCTGGATAAGTTACATATCCTTATATAAACATGTTAGTTACAACTATATTAAACAGAAGAATAAAAAGTGGTGTTTAAATAATTGACAATTACATTCTTTCCTAGAAATTCGGGTAAAGAATTTGGTAGGTGGAATAATGTCTTATGTATTTCAAAGGCTGTCAGTTAGCAATCCAGCCTATTTCCCAATAGATGAATTCAACAATGGTTAGATTCCTCACAATATAGAGAGTACTACAGTGGCAGATTTAAAAAATGGGAAAGTGCATCACTAGCAATTAAAGTAGATTTCATTCGAGTTAGTTAGAAAACTGATAGAATAATTAAATAAAAGATACCTACATACATGTATATTCCTGAAATCATTGGTCAAGACAAGAAGTATTGTAACAGTTAGCGAAGGCAAAAAAACATAGCTAGGCCAAAGAAGGTAAATTATGATAATTGAGAACATGGGAATGGATTTCTTTTTCAAGACACATCTGTGACTAATGCAGTATTTGGAAGATTGTTGAAAATAAGCATTAGAATTTCTTGTGGAATCAATTTAAAATTGTACCTTGTTGAAGAATATTTAAAACACACATATAAAGTAGCAAATAGAACAATTACCTTTAAAATTGGGTCTGATTCTTGCATCATATCCTGATGTCCTCCCCATTAATTTATCCAGAAAATCAGAAGGTGACATTGGAGCACTTCGAGATCTTGCACTATCTGTTTCCTTTGTGGCAACCAAACTACAAATAAGAACAAAAATGTAGACTTTACAAAAAGGAGCATTTCTAATCATTGTTACCTACAAATACAAAATAGCAATGCTAAGCTAAATATGTTTGGCAACAAAATATAAGACTTTAGATATCACACAGTGAAGATTATAATAAGATAGACATTTACAGATTTATAGTCAATACTTGTGAGGTTTCCTATCTATTCAGTCCAATTTTCAGAGGTGGCATTCTTTTGTATTAAACCTGAAAACAAAGGCCACTTTCAAAATATTAAGCTTTCAAATCTGTATTTACAAAAGCTTGATATCTGATAGCAATTTTTAACCAAATGTATCCTTATTGCTTTAGGTGTAAGAAAATATGAAAATTCAACTGTGAACTACAATCTTATTGCTTTTATTGAGGGAAAACATCACCTTTCAGGTTTTGTGAATTTTTCTTAGCAGTAAAAAACTTCTGTCTAAAAAGTTAAACAATCACATTTTTTTCTTCAATTAGAGTGTTTCCTGAATTGGTAACACACCAAGTTAAATTCACTCTACTTTCACCTACATGTCATTAATCTACAATACCTTTTGTTCAGATCTAAAATTTGTGTGTCACGACTGAGAAATTACCATAAATGTACCATGTGTACCTGGATATTATATTAGACCTGTGTCCAGGAAAGGTAGTGTGTTCCTATATTCTTTTCATCCAAATTTTTTCCTTTGTGTCCAACTACTTGTCCCAGAAACCCATAGTGTAGGCTATTTCTCCTGTCCAGGTTTTCACTTACATAGGCTTCTCCAACAGAAGTTGGGCTTGCTTGTTGAGATCAAATGGTTCTTTTTATCCACAGAGTTTTGCTCAGGAATGTGAAACTGACTTTCTGGAACTGATGTGTCCAAGCTGTTGTCACTTCCTGAAGATCATCAATCATCACTTGCTCCCAGCTCTGTCATTCAACTCAGGACATTGCCAAATCTCAAACCATTTGGGTCACCATATGATCATAACAAGATCAATTATTAAATTCCTTAGATATCTCCTGCCAGAATTTTAGTGTGAAGTAAAACTGGGACTTAGAGTCATCATCATTAAGTTGTCTACCACAGGGATATATGCAGTGATTCATGGGCACAGTTTTAAAATCTCATCAATCTCGGTGATAATATGAGAATGAGATTTCTGTAAGCACAGAATCACAAGTTACAGTATCTATTAGCTGTTGCCCTGTTCTAGAGGTTCTGTCCTGTTCTGGGCACTCTGAGTCACTTTCCCCAGTGATTCTCATTCTGTCATTCTTGCTTTCTTCCAGAATGGAAGCATTTTTCTCCCTATTCTGTTGGCTCTATATGACTTCGTGATCCTTTATCTCTGATTATTATTGCTCGAACAAACTGTCATTGTGGTCACTGGGAAGTTTATTCTAATAAAAAAACATTATAATAATACAGTTTTTTTTTTTCCAAACTATCTTCTCAATGACTCTAGAGCTCTCTTCTACCATCTGATTTTAAGGAAGTTTTTTCTGTCCTATCAAGAAGCATTTGTTTATATTCCATGCTTCAAGAATAGTGTGGAAAAGCATCGTTGAAGCTTTTGTAGCTACATGCTGCTGCTTCTAAACCATTCTCTTTATTTCCCTTGCAAAATCTCTCCTTTCAATGACCAGAAAATAAACTTCTACATCCTCCTACCAACAAATATACCAATTTACCTTGATTTGAACCAATAATACTCTGCCTCCTTCTCTATTACAAATACTAGATGACTGTGTATACTGAATACAATCCTTCACATTGAGTGTGGGAAGATTATCCTAGATTATCAGGGGCAGTTCTATATGCAACAACATACAAGGATATTCATCCTTATAAGAAGGAGGCAGAATTATATCTGATGAGAGACAGAAGAAGGAAGGCAATGTGACCATGGAGACAGGAATTGGGGTGACACGGCCACAGCGAAGGAATGCTGGCAGCCACCAGAAGTTGGAAGAGAAAAGGAATGGATTCTACCCCAGAGTTTCTGGAGGTAGCATGGACCCACTCACACCTTGATTTTGACTCAGTGAATGGATTCCAGACTTCTGGCCTGCAGAACTGTTAGAGAATAGATTTCTGTTCTTTGTGGTAATTTGTTTCAGTTGCCATAGGAAACTAATACTAACCTTCTAGTGAATTTTTCATTTCTGTCAGGCTGCTTTTCAACCCCAGAATTACTCTTTGGTTCTTTTTTTATAATCTCTATCTCTTTATAATTTCCTTTTTGGTGAGATATTATCATACTTTCTTTTTAGCTCTTTGTACATGGTTTCCTTTAATTCTTTAAATGTGCTTAAAATAGTTCATTTGAAGTCTTTGTCTCATAATTGCAATGTCTTTGTTTCCCTAAGCATGCTTCTATTGATTGCATTTTTTTCTGTGTTTGGTCCATACATTTTTGTTTCTTTGTGAAACTTATAACTTTTATTGAAAACTGTACATTTTAAGTAATATAACTCTGGGAATCATATTGTCTTTTCTCCCCAGAGTTCGTTGTTGTTGCTCTTTTTTAAAGGGACTTTTCTGAGCTAATTCTGTAAAGTCTACTTTCTTTATAATATGTGACCATTCTACTTGGTTAGCTTAGAGATCAGCTAGTAATTGAACATGGATTTTATTAACTTCTAGAGCCAATAAGTCTCTCAGTATTTGCTGGGGGTTCTGTGTCATGGGGTCATACCTTCAACACTATGTCAGGCAGTTGATTACTCTAGACTTTACTTTCACTTGTGTGAGGCCTAAAAGTCAGCCAGAGTTGAGAGCTAAGGGTCTTTTCAGGTCTTTCCTGAGCATGCGCACAACCCTGGGTGTGTTACTTTGCTAGATCTGCCATGACATAGTATCATGAACAGGTGGCTAATGCAACAGAAATTAACTTCCCCACAATTCTAAAAGTCCAAGATCAAGTTGTCAGCAGGGTTGGTTTCCTCTGAGGGTCTCCTTGTTGGCTTGTAGATGTCCACTTTCTGTTTTTTCATATGATCTTTTCTGTATGTGTGTCTGCTCTAACTTCTTATAAGCACACCACACATATCGGATTAGGGCATATTGTTTTACCTTAATTACCTCTTGGTAAGGTGACAAACCTTACCTCCAAATAAAGTCACGTCTGGAGGTAGTGGCAGGTAGGACTTCAACATGAGTTTTGGGAGAAAAAAATTCAGCCCATATATGTGGCTTTCCAGATAACCAGGAATATATGCCGATTTTCCAAACCCATATGGACATATCATTCCAATGCTTTTCCATTTAACATTTTTGTTAAGCATATTGTTTGTCCCCACTATTACTGATTGCCTTAGGCATCTGTGAAGTTAAAAATTGACTCTAAATGTTTTAAACAAACTTCTCCAGGAAAAGGGCTTTTGGCGGTAGGTGAAGTTAGGTCACAGAAAAATAGATTTGCAAATGGTGTATTCCAGAAAACCTGCAGGCAAGTCAAATAATGATCATTCTTAAAGAATAAGGCCTTAAAGGAGTTCGGACTCCATGCTGTCTCCTCTGGTGGCTGCCAGGTTGTGGATTTGTCCTCTAATTTGGGGCTATTGGTTTACTTTGTCACCACAGAGCTGAAGAGAGGGAGTGGGAAATAGAGCAAATTATAATGCCATAAATCCCGCTGTTTTTACTAAGAGAAAGATATTTTTCTTTAGTAAACAACTTCAGGAATCACTACAAGCCTCTGATTAACTGTCAGGCTTTTGAAAAATTTGATTCTCACAATTATATTTTTGCCAGTTTTCTTGTTGCTTTCATGAAGGAGAGAATTTGTCGATGTCCTTACTCTCCTGTATTTTTCTTACTCTACTGTTTTTGCTGATGTCACTCTCTAATAATGCCTCCCTAGACTTATTTTTATATTTGTTTTACTGTATCTTTGCTTTAAATAACCATATTCCTCACAGTTCCATTCTGGAGCTCTTCCTCTGCTCTCTTTGTGAATAATTTTATTTACTCTCATGGTATCAACTGCATACCACGATACTATTTTGTAGGTCTTTCAAAAAAACACCTTTATTCATAAGTAATGTCAAATTTACATTTATTTATTTATATTTAGAGACAGGGTCTTGCTCTGTTGCCTAGGCTTGTGTGCAGCAGCATGATCATAGCTCTCTGCAATGTTGAACTTCTGGGCTTAAGCAATCCTCCTGTGTCAGCCTCCTAATGGGGTCTCACTATGTTGTCCAGGCTAGTCTCCAGCTCCTGGACTCAAGCAATCCTCCTACCTTGGCCTGCCAACGCACTGCAATTACAGGCATGAGCCACTGCACCTGGCCAAGATTTGCTTTTAAAAGAAAGGATGCAAAGTCTGTCTTTAGGATTTTCCTATAATATATGTCCAAAAACTGTAGAGTAAATATTCTAAGTGATTGTTATTCTTGTGGCAGTAATAAAGAAGTAATTATATCTATATATCTATCTAGGATCTCAATTTTCATATATATTTTCAGATACAGCAAGTATTAGCCAGCACAAGAAAGAAAAAAATAAAAGACTAAGATTTAATTAAGATTAAAGATTTAATGAAGATTAAATCTTAATTAATTTTAGATTTCAGATTTTCACTATCTACCAATAACTTTGACAAAACAGTAATTTTATTTATCTAGGCAGATCAATGCTAAATTTTAATGATAATAATCTCTCTTGTATTTATACAAATCATATCTTGCAAAAGTCAGTCCTTTTCTAGTTTTCATTAACCCATTTCTAAACTATTTTTACAAACGTTACAATTGATGATCAATCTCAAAATAGAATAAGAAAATCAAAAAATCACATTTTTCTCATCTCATACTAAGCAATCATTTATCCATTGCAACCGGCTATTATAATAGTTTAATATTTGAACCAATGTGAGAAATAAGGTATTAAAAATTTTCCAATAGTGGATGTAGAGATGTCATCTCTGTATACTTTTTAAAAATATATTACTCCAAATACAAGTAGTGGTAGGGACTGGCATGTTAAGTG